GGGGGTTTGTTATGACATTTTACAGCTTTAGCATGACCTTGGGAGTAATACTGTTTCCAGTTAACTTTGTAGCTGGCTTTGTGTCTGTTCTGCTAGCCAGATTCAGGGTAGGGCAGTTTTTCCTTTCTCAGTAGGGTGTCCGGAGAGAGAATTGTTTGAATCTTTATTAAAAAAAAAAAAAAAATCATCAGCTACTTTGCTGAATGTAGTACACCACAGATGAATACAATAAAAAATAATTGCTATGTTTCAAAACCAACTAACCAACCCCAAACAGTCATACTGTTTCCCTGTTCCCAAGTACTTTTAGGTCAACTACATCATTCTTTCACAATTATCTATAAAAAAGTAGCATTCACATCAGAGAGATCCGGAGCATGATCTTAAAAGTAACTAAAATATTGTATGACTTGGGAAACATGAGTCAAGACAAAACAAATGTTTTTTTCTTATTCCATGAGAACCTGAGAGGTCAATGCCAAGAACATGTCTTTCTTGTTAGAAGGTGTTAATCGGTGTCCAATCAGAAAAACAAACACTCTAGATAATTCTAGTAAACAGCGATTTAATGCAGGGACTTGGCTAGAAAGACGCTGTAAGGGCTGGAAGAGCCTAAGACCCAAGAAGTGGGGATTATGGCAAAAGCCCCGACTGCCTGGCTGGGGGACGTGGGTCTGTGTTACCATTCTTATCTTTTTTTCTTTTTTAGATTTTATTTATTTATTTGTTAGAGAGAGAGTGTGTGGGCGAGAGTGAGTGAGAGTACAAGCAGGGGGAGCTGCAGGCAGAGGGAGAAGCAGGCTCCCTGCTGAGCAAGGAGCCAGATGCGGGACTCGATCCTAGGGCACTGGGATCATGACCTGAGCCGAAGGCAGTCGCTTCGACTGAGCCACCCAGGCGTCCCTACCATTCTTACCTTATTGAATCAAGATAAACATTTGAATCGCAATTTGATACTGAAAAATCCACAGATAAGCCTGTTGAGTGGTGGTTCAGAGCATGGACTCGAGCAATTCCTAGCTGCGGGACTCTGGGCAGGTTTTCTCACTTGGCAATTAGAGGAGGACCTACCTCCCACGGTTGCTGCAGTGGCTAAAGAGGGCACAGCTTGTGAACGGCTCATAGCAGGCCTGGACCGTAAATCAGTGGTCCTTCAATCTGGAAGCAGTACCTGCCTAAACCCAAGGCCATGCCAGGGACGGCCACCCACCCTTATGGAGAATGGAAGGAAAACTACATGGAAATGACGTGGATCTTCCTGAAACCCCTACATCTTTGAGAGGAGGGAGGGGCGGTTGGTGTCTGACAGTCCTGGGTTTAGTACCCGCTGGGCTGCCTACCTGGTCGGGGCGCCGGGAGTGCAGGTCTGAAGAGTTTGCTGAGCTGCAGGTTTCCCATGTGGAAAACAAGCATTTTCTTCCTTACAGGACAGATGTAAAAACTAAATGAGATTTTTTTTTTTTAACGTTATGTTAAGAACCTAGCTTATAACAGTTCAACGACAGGAACTGCCGTAATTGAATAATTATATTATAAATAATTAACATGTAAATAATTAAAAATAATTGAAATAATTAAATATTTAATTAAAATCACTATCAAAATATCATAATAAAGTATTGTGTCTGTCCTGTCATCATGTGCAGGGAAAACACTTATCTGCGCTTGTTTTCAAAGGGAGAGCGTGGTCTGCATGCCTGTCCACCACGGATACTTCATTAAAGGTGGCTCGGGGCCGCACTCTCTCCGGCCTGAATCTTGCATTCCGGGTTTGGGATTCTTTGTCCCCGGATTCCAGGTTCTGGAAAAGGGGAAGTTCCCAGGTATCGCCAGCAGGTGGCGCAGCGATCCTTTGCCAGGCTATCGTGAAATATCCGCCAGGTTTGGAAGCCTGGGAAGTTTAGTCAGAAGCTCTCGTAGGGTCACCAGTTTATCTGCAAGAGGCCAGGAGGATGCACGACCTCAGTGAGGGGCAAGAAGGCTAGGGACGAGGGTCACAGCAGGAGAAGGAGTAAAGAAGATGTGTCAGTGAGAGGTACCCGTGGGACTTGGGGCGGGGCTCTGGCCCAAAGCCCACAGATAATTCATCCCTGCTTGCCAAAACATGTGTCGAGTGCTTACCGTGAGCCATAGACAGGGCACAGTGTGAAATCAGGCCCCTCAAGCAGCTCACAGTCTTGCTGAGGAGTTTGACACAGGGACAAATGGCTAATATGTAATGTGAAAATCACGGGACATCATGCCACCATCTCTTTAACCCTTAGGACGAGCCAGGCACTTTATGATACTCTTCCTACTTCGCCCATGAAGAAACCGCTTTTAAGGGATTCACTCATTGCCCAAATTCACAAAGCTGAGAAACAACGGATTCAAGCCATGCCACTCTATTTTAAAGGCTATGGTTAGTAGCGCTTTACAAATCACTACTCCTCCACTAAAACGAAGCAAAAGAGCCCCGCTCCGATAAAGCTCACCCCTCGAGGTTAGTCTCTGCAGGTGTCGTCACGACCACGGCGGGCATCCCCCTCCCCCACTGGGCTCGGGTGCCCCTCTTTCCCTCCTCCCTGCTGGCACCTCCCCACCTCCTGCTCACTGTTCACTCTCTAAGGCATCTGGCTCACCTTAACCACCATCTTCCGGTCGCTTCAGCGGCCGCTCCCACAGCCACAGCCTGGCCTTGGTGATCACTGACAGATGGGCTCCAGAGAGCACTAGTTCCCACACTTCCCTGTTGGCAGCGACTTGGCCTTCCTGCTCGTTGGCTCAAGTGCCCCCTTGCAGCTGTGAAAATTGGTAGAAGGAAACCTCATTTAACACGGGGTGAGGAGGCCAGCAGGGGGAGCGCTCACGCCCTGCCACGGGTTGTCAATTGCAGACCCAAAAGGAAGACTTGCGCAGACAGATAATTGAGTTCGCTACTACTTCACTCTGCAGGCAGGAGGGAGAAAGGGTTCTCCCTGCTCCCACAGCCCAGCCAACGGGAGATGTCACACTCAGCCAATGAAGAGCCACTGCACTTTGAACTCCCAGTTTACACCAATGAACATTTTGTAACAGCTCCACCAACTCCCCCCATTTCCTCCAGGAAAGATCCGTCCTCCCCTTTGTTTGGGGGGCTTGCCTAGGATTTTGCCACCGCCTGCTTGTCCCAAGTTGCCATTCTCTGCTCTTCCTGAATAAACCCATTTTTGATGGAAAGATAGCGGACAGTTTTATTTTTAAGGTTAACACAGCTATTCTTTGCTTTACTGGGTCCCCTGACAGCTGGTCTAGCTTCTCCCTGCAATCATCTCTCCTGACTTCACTTCCTTCGTTCTCCAGCTTAGTTCCCAGGATGTGGCATGTCAGCTACCCTTAAAGAGCACCCGAAGCTCCTGCTTGTCCCACCCTCCTCCGTGGTGCTGGCTTCTACCTCCGATTACCTGTCCTTGCCCATGACTGCATTCCGCAGCTGTGGTGGGAAACCTTGCAGCAGGGGAGCCTGTTGGAAGACGGGGGAAGGCAATCGGCGATTCTGAACGGAGTTGAGGGAGTGCTCATCTGAAGGCTTCAGCGTGCCCTGGGAGAGGAACGAGGGTGTGGGCTCCCAGGGCTGAAGGCTGTGGAGGGGCCCTGACAGCTGCTTGAGAGAATGGGGAGCACCCAGGAGGAGGGGGGAGTTTGGTGGCGTGGAGGCCCCAGGGAGGATGTGGACCCTGGATCTAAGGTGGGACCGATTCTGTGGTTGTGGCTTTCCTCTGTTACTACTTGGTTGCAGAGATGAACAACCAATTTATCCAGGGCGGGGGTTTGCCAGGTGGTTCCAACACAAAACAGTGGGGATGTTGGGGATACTGGCCAAAGTGTTGGAGCAGAAGCTACAGAGATTATCAGATGACCTGGCTTAAAAACCTGATTGTTTACGGATTGTTTACAAAACAGAAGCTTTCTGAGGGCAGGGCCTTGTTCTGCATGGAGTCCTACCCTGTTGTGGGTCACTCCTTGAGCAGGTGAAGTGAGACGATGAGAAATCAAGAACCTCAGGGCTCTGGCAGCAGGAGAGAAGGCTGAGGGAGAGAGGGTGCGGCTGCAGGAGATGTCCGAAGGCACAGAGTTGGAGATGGGTCACTTCTGGAGATGATCTGCTCAGGACCCGAGGCCCTGAGGTTGAGTGCAGGTGGGTGACCAATCCATCTCTGTTTGCCCAGACCTTCCTAACTCAATCACTGAGAGCCCTGTGCCCTGGAGAACCTTCAGTCTTGGGTAAATGGGCCAAGGGGTCACTAAGTGGTAGACGGCAATATCTCTGAGAAGCCAGAATATCAGTCAGTGGTCTATGGAAGGCGCAGGATTGATCACTCTTATGGGCCTGTGTAATTTTTTTGCCACACTCAATGTGGGACTCCTTGGGCATGTTTTCTCAGCAGTGAAAGGGAGATTTTTCATAGCCCTTAGCTCTAGGAATAACAAGTATGCTAAAAATGGCAAATACTTCCAGGAGTGGGAATGCCAAAGTGTGGCTACATCAGCTTTTTCAAGTCTGTAAGTTAAGTGCTTTGTACTCAGAGCCTTAAAGAATCCTATCGACAAAGGGAAAAATGAAGGGGGGGAATCGGAGGGGGAGACGAACCATGAGACTATGGACCCTGAGAAACAAACTGAGAGTTCTAGAGGGGAGGGGGGTAGGGAGATGGGTTAGCCTGGTGATGGGTATTAAAGAGGGCACGTTCTGCATGGAGCACTGGGTGTTATACGTAAACAATGAATCATGGAACACTACATCAAAAACTAATGATGTAATGTATGGTGAGTAACATAACATAATAAAATAAAATTAAAAAAAAAAGAATCCTATCAACAAAGCTCTCCCGCTAATTCTTTTCTTTCTAGTGGAAATTTAAGTTGATTTATTATAATAGTATCTATTTTCTTTGGAATATAATAATGTCAATTTGCAATATTATATGAAAGGACTATATATAAATAATCATAATTTTATTTAATTGAGCATGAGAATCATACCAAGAATGAAATAGTCTTTGGTTAAATAGACATGACTAGTGTTGAAAATAGATTTCACACTCCACATGCATTACATAGCATAGACAAACCATAGCTTCACTATAATTCAAATTTTCTAATAACTGACTTGCTGTTATAGCAATCAAATGTGCATCAATAAATTATCCTAGAGATGTTTTATTTTCAGAACAGCATTTGATGGTTAAATCATTAAAAGTGAAATACTGACTTTCTGGAAAAATTGCAGAAATACATCTCAACCAAAAAATAACTCTTTCATAATGCATCAATACATACAAGGTATATTGAAATAACATCAGAATTGTATTCTCTATGTCAACATCATGGACATGTACAATCACTATAAATAAAAACATGGGGGTCAGGATATAGTTATTCACAGAAACAAAAGAATTATTTCCCAGAATATTTAGGAATATTCCAGGAAGATTACCGGGAATACAGTTCTTTGCTATAAACATCAGGGGAGAATCACTATGTACAGACTTGGATTCCTATATGTACCTATAGCTTACTCAACATGCTTATGTCAGAAACTTGAAGATATCCTCCCTTTCTAAGTGTCCCACATAAAATCTATATAGAGATTTGTTGAATTCTTATTAATTTGTATTCAATATTAAATTGAATACATTTAAGGAAACTTAAATCTTCTCCCTCTTTCACAAATGCATATATTAATGGTTAACCAAAGACAACTAATGTCTGTTCTGCTAGATTTTGGCATAGTTCAGTTCTTTGTTTTCATTAGGGACGAACAAGATATAGCATAAATGCCTTAGCACATAAGCTAAACCTTATATTTTGTTTGTACTAAACTTTTTACTCTAAGATAATTGCAGATTCTGAGATAATTGCAGAAATTGTCGCTTCACATGCAGTTGTAAGAAATAATACAAAGAGATCCTGTCTGCCTTTTACCCAGTTTTCCTCAAGGGTAATATCTTGTAAAACTATACCATATCCCAACCAGGATTTTGACATTGATACAGTCAAGACACAGAACGTTTCCATCGTAAGGATCCCTCGTGTTACTCACTTCTCTCCTCCACCCTCCTCCTTAGCAACCTCTAATCTGTTCTCCATTTCTAGAATTTTGCATTTCAAAATGTTGTATAAATGGAATTGTACAGCATGTAACCCTGTGGGATTGACTTTTCACTCAGCATAAATCTCTGGAGATTCATCCAAGTTGTTGCTCATGTGAGAAATTATTTTTATTGCTGAGTAGTATTCCATGGCATGGATGTTTCACATGTTTAACCAGCCACCCGTTAAAGGACATCTGGTTGTTTACAGTTCTTGAATATTATGAATAAAGCTGCTATGAACATTCATGTACAAGTTTTTGTGCGAACGTAAGTTTCCATTTCTCTGGGATAAATGCCCAACAGTGCAATTGCTGAAAGGTATGGCATCTGCATGTTTAGTTTTATAGGAAACTGCCAATGGTTTTGCAGAGTGACTGTTCCATTTTACATTCCCACCAGCTCTGTTCGACTGATCCAGTTTCTTTGCATCCTTGCTAATATTTGTTGTTGTTACTTTATCTTAGCAATTTTGTTAAGTGCACAGTGGTATCTCACCGTGGTTCTAATCTGCAGTTCCCTAATGATCAATGATGTTGAGTATCTTTTCATGGACTTATGTGCCATTTGTGTATCTTCTTCAGTGAAATGTTTGTATATATCCTCCAGTTTTGAAATGGAGTTTTTAGAAAAAAAATTGTTGAGTTTTGTGAGTTCTCCATATATTCTAGATATTAGTCATTTGTCAGATATGTGCTTGCAAATATTTTCTCTCAGTCTGTAGCCTGTCTTTTCATTCTCTTAACATGGTCTTTTTCAGAGCCAAAGTTTTAAATTCTGATGAATTTATCAAGCTTTCCTTTACGGATTGTGCTTTTTGGTGTCAAATCAAAGTACTCTTGAGGCTTAGCCCTAGGTCCCTACAATTTTCTATTTTTTAAAAAAAACTTTTATAGTTTTACATTTTATATATAGGATTATGACCCATTTTGAGTTCATTTTCATATAAGGAATGAGGTTTAGGTTGAGGTTTTTATTTGCCTGTTGATATCTCATTCTCTAACACATTTATTGAAAAGATTATCCTCCCTCCATTGAATTACTTTTGTACCCTTATATAAAACCCAATTGAGTATATTTGTGTGGTTCTATTTCCAGATTTTCTATTCTGTTCTATTGATCTCTGTGCCTTCACCAATAAAAACCATATTGTCTTGATTACTGTAGCTACATAATAAATTTTTATATTGAATAGAGTGATTTCTCCTACTGGTTTTTCTTTTACAAGACTGTTGTTAGCTATTCCAAGGCCTGTGCCTTGGAATTTTTAGAAAAACTTGAATATGTCTACAAACTTTGCTGGGATTTTGACAGAAATTGCATTAAATCTATAGGTAAATCTGGGAAGAACTGACATCCTTGCTATTATGTGTCTTCCAATCCATGAACATGGTGTATCTCTTCATTTATTTAGGTCTTTGATTTCTTTCATTAGCATCTTTTAATTGTCAGCATATAGATCTCATACATGTTTTGATAAATTATACCTAAATATTTATTTTCTTTGGAGTGACTGTAAATGGTATTGTGCTTTTAATTTTGGTTTCCACTTTGCTCATTGTTTTTTTTTTTTTTAAAGATTTTATTTATTTATTTGACAGAGAGATAGCGAGAGCAGGAACACAAACAGGAGGAGTGGGAGAGGGAGAAGCGGGCTTCCTGCCGAGCAGGGAGCCCGATGCGGGACTCGATCCCAGGACCCTGGGATCATGACCTGAGCCGAAGGCAGATGCTTAACGACTGAGCCACCCAGGCGCCCCACTTTGTTCATTGTTAATATTTAGAAATGTGATTACATTTTGTGTGCTGACCTTGTATCCTGAAACCTTGCTGAACCCACTAGTTCTTTGACTTTTTTTTTTTTAAATAGATTCTTTGGAATTTGCTATGTAGACAATCATGTCATCTGTAAACAGAGATACTTTTATTTCTTTCCAGTCACATGCATTTAATTTCTTTTCTTGTTTATTGCCATGTGCAGAATTTCCAGTACACCCTTCAACATTTTCATCAAGGTAAATTTTCAGAGATTTGCTGAAACCTACTGGCTTGAATGGGGCCAGATACACTTTGAACACTCTTATCATCCAACCTGTTTAGACCTCATTTCCTATCATTTGGATAAATAATTGATAACATTCATTAGTGGTTATAAATGGCACCCATCCTGCAAAGCCCCCTGAAGCAGCAAAGAGGGCTTTAATGAGCTGAGTGGAACCTGATTATAAAAGCAAACTTAGCATACGAACATTATTCATAAGACAGAATCAAGAGGTAGTGATGCCCAAAGAATTAAGGTATGAGGTTGACTTATGGAGTATGTGGTTTATCCTTCTGGTTTTCCCCTCTTACCTCTAAACTGGGGGTAGCGATAATTTTTAACTCAGAAATACAAAATACCATCAAAGTGACCTTATTCTTATGTATTAGAAATTGTTATTGTTAGGAACTCTTTTGAGAATTGGCTTTTGACAAAAAAGAATTCTGTGCATCTTACCATGCTTTTTGTAACAGGCACTTAAAAATATTTTGACACCTCAAAGTCTGTTCATGTCTTAATTTTTTAAAGTAAAATCATTAATAACATTTTACTTATTTTAAAAAATGTATATTTCCTATAGTGTATTTTTATGTTATACAACACACCTAACCCACCACAGAGGGTTCATAGCCATTATAAAAAGACAGAAAACTGGGTACTACTAGATCTTTACAGACTTCAGTGTAAGAGGTCTTGGATGTATACACATAGGTCCTTTATAGGCCTTAGATGTGTACTCAGGTACAATGTCGTTTCTTGAAAAACCAGGAGCTCCTGCATATAATTTGTAGAAAATTTTAAATCTGTAGTAACAATCAAATTTCAAAGACTTTTTTTTTTTTTTTATAGTTAACCGTGGCAAATCAGCCTAGGCAGGTTAATCCTCATTTTACTGATTTTGCTGATTCAATGACCACCCATGCATTTCAGTGACTCTCTTGTTCTCAAGATTGGAACTTGTCTAAGTACCACTCCATCCATTGTGTGTGGTGAGTCAGGCCCTGGGACGCTGACCTAGCCTGTCTGAGCCCCAATTCTCTTGTATGTAAGTGGCAACAATGATGTGACTCTCACTGGTTGTCAGGCTGACATGAGATAATCTTGCCAAGGCCCTGGTCCAAGGCTGGGCAGGGAGTATGCTTCCAATTACTGACTTCTTTGCTTCCTTGCTTCCTTCCCTGCTCCTCTCCTCTCCCCTGTCCTCTCTACATGCCACAGAATGAGATGCTTTTTTTTGGATGCCACTCCTCGTGCCTAAGGGACAGGAACCCTCTGTCAGAAGCATTAGCTGTGGGGATCTGGGGAGCTTGGTGCTGAAGCTGTCCCACCCGATGAAGGAGTCACCACGGCCTGCTCACACAGAACGGGGCTTCGCCCAGGACTCTGTGTTCACAGGTGGTTTGTCAGGTTGTAGTGGGACAAAGGCTTCCTACGTGACCAGGACATTCTAGCAAATGTGACTTGATCATGCATCTGCAGTCCAGTAAGTAGCATGATGAGCACTCCACAGACAACCAGTCCTGCGTGCTCACCCCAAACACAAGACCGTGGCCACGCGATGCACGTTTAGCTCCTTTGTGCTCGCGGTGAGCTCCGAACCAAGACTGCTTTGGGCACAGCAAGCAACAAAAATACTCTCACAATACAATGCAATCACATGGCACATACTTTTTTTTTTGTTGTTCTAAGGAATGGAATGGCAACGGTCTCAGCATGTCGCTTTGAGAACCATGAGGGTTCCCTAGTCGGCGAGACTGGGTGGAATACGATACAAACGGAGGCTATATATACGTGAGCACCTGCGTGAACTGGGGGCTTGCAAATGACCACTCTAATCGCCAGCCAGGCCCAGGGTTCCCCGGTCACCCTCTCTCGTTCTGCGGTGAGGGTGACAGGGCGGCCGGGAAGCTGGCAAGAGACAGACAGCCGTCAGGCACCGTGTGGCAGCGTGACGGAAAGGGGTCTCGTTTCCTGCAAACCCCGAGGACTTTCTGCTCACTGCATCAGGCCTTGCGTGGGACTGCTTTGAAGTAGTCCTCCTTTTTAATGTCGGATACGCCTCCATACCATTTCTGAAGCCAGATATGTTCTATCCTCATCTTCATAAAGAACCACTCATACTGACGAGGCCACTTCCTCATCACGGGGTGTCTGCAGAAATAAAGGAGAGGTCACGAGAGAGCTGCTCCCATCAGCAGGTGGGCCCTCCCGGGACCCCGGGCCCGCCTCCGGGGCATCGGCCAGGTCATCGGGCCTCCAGAGCCCAGGCCTCGTCTGGGCCGAAGCCAGAGGCAGAAGCCAGGGAGCCGGGGCTGGGGTCTGGGACAGCCTCGGGAAGGCAGGGAGCGGCCACCTCCACAGAGGGGCAAACCCGCCTTGTCCTAGGCGCCTTGGTTCGGGTCCCAGGTCAGTGGCAGATGAGCAAGAGGCTTTGTGGGCCATCTGCCGTCTCAAACCCTGGCCTCCTTACCCGTCTTGGGGGACACGGGTGGCAGTGCTTGGATCATGGGGCTGCGTGGGGAGCAAACAACTCTGCGCACAGGAAGCACCTGCACAGAGCAAGTGTTCAGTGAACGCCGGTTGCTGATGGCAGGAAACATCAAGAAAGGCTTTCTGCATCTTCGGATGAAAATTCAAAAGAATTGTGAGCCCCGAAATAAATCTGCTGGTGGGAAGACTGGCACCGCTGCTGCAGGCTGAGAGATGTTGGGCCACGGGGAGAGTCAACCAGAATGCACAGGGCTCGTCACACTCCGCCTTCTACTTACCGACTTGCTTTCTCCCTCACGTGAAACCCTAGACATATGCGTCTTCTTAAGGGCAGGTGCTTGGCTCATTTCTTGTAAAGTTCAGAAACATAAAAAACTAGATTCTTACCTAAACGTGTCAAAGACAAAAGTCAAAGGTCAAGTGCTGACTCGGGAGGCTATTTGCAACAATGTAGAAGCAATAATAGGCCGATGACCTTTTAAAAGAGACAATTTGTTTTGAAATAACTGTAAAAGCCCAGAGAAGTTGGAAGTACAGGGTTTTGTTTTGGGTTTTTTTGTGGGGGGGGAGGGACACTCTTTTTTTCCCTAAACCATTTGAAATGAAGTTGCTGATCTGATGCCCCAACACTCCAAATACGTGTAATGCCAAGATAATAAAAGGATTGTTGCTATTTTAAGCAAACGCAGTTTGTACTTGGAACCGGAACACATTTTGGCACCTGCAGGTGTGGCTCAGATGTTAATAAATCCTAATCCAGGGGGCACCGGCTTTGCATCCAGACAGTGAGGGGCAGGTGGAGGGAACTCCAGGAGACTCACAGTGGGGGGCTTAGAAGAAGGTAAAGATGAGGTTAGTGGAGGCGGCGGGGGTGGGGGGGCGGCGTGTAAAGGGGCCCAAAAAACATAGTGGTGAAAAATTTGGCAACACAGCACCTGCTGTGTTTCCTGCAGAAAGACACAATGGTCTACCTAAGATTCTGGCCTCTTCTCACTGCCTATTATAACACGAAAGAGGAGTGTTTAGAAGTAAAGAGGACAGCGGGGTTCAAAAATATGTCACGGGCACACACACACACGCACACAAAACCAATGTTCTTTTCTCAACCTATGTTCTGAAAACCCTGCATTCATGTTGAGGTATCCAATTGCAATCCAATTCGAGTTCATTCCCATTTTCTCTGTGCACGTGAAACCCTTTTCCACAGCAGTGGGAAACCAGGCTTCCCTTCTCCGTTCTATGCTTACTTATTTGATGGTTCCCCTGTATGGAAAAATCGTCCCTTCTCCGAGGGGGTGTGGGTGCGCTCCCAGTTTACCACCTGCTGTCGTGTTAGTCTTCCACGTACTTAGACAAAGAGTTAATCTGCCTGTTTTCAACCCCTGCACCCCAGGGAGGATACCTGCCACTCCTTGGCCCAGTTCTGACCTTGCACTCCAGGCGGCCCCCTGTGTGGACGCGTCCCTCACTCCAGCCCCCCTGGGAGACCACCCCTCCCTGCACACACCCTCCTCACACCTTTCGCAAGCTCTTGACCTCCCGCCGCCTCTCACAGGGCTGCCCTCTTGCTCTCTTTGACAGCCGTGATTCTTAAACTTCAGCATGCATGCTCATTTCCTGGGACATGCTTTTAACATTTCGAGTGAGTCTTCTCTCCCGAGGATCTGATTCAGTAAGCAGGTCGGGGCGGGATGGCGGGGGCAGAAAGCCCGTGGCCGCCAGCATCCTCAGTGGGTCAGACATAGGCAGCAGAGGACCACCCTGAGCAAGGCGCTCTTTCACTCTGCACTGTGCTTTGCTTAGAGTGGACGTTTGAAAATGTTTGTTGTGTTGCCTTCTCTGCAAAGTCCAGTTATTTCCATTTCAAGGCAGGCTGTTGTGGAAGGCAGCAAGTGCGCAGGGAAGAGTGCCTGGGGTCCCTCAATGCAGGATGCTCTCCAAAGGCAGCAGGGGGTGGGAGGGGGACTGCAAGACCACCTGCAAGGCCTCTGCTGTCCCCTCCCCCGCGCAGCCACCACGACAGCCAGCGTGAGGTTGGCAGCCCTGCCCGCCACCCAGGGCAGCTCAGACCATTACTATCATTGCTTCAGGGGCATCAAAGGGCACAGTCCTCACCTCTGCTTTTTTTTACGGTGTATTTCTGGGCAAACCGACTTTAAAGCATATACAAACCTTGAAAACATGGCTTGCTTGGCAAATTCTACTTCTTCTGGAGACACGGGGATCATCTGGCCGGTGAGTGTCAGGCGGGCGCATCGGGGGTCTTCCGGGTCGACGATATTTTTTCTGCATACGAAGAACGTTTTTCACATGTTAAAAGGATGATAGAACGTCGGCCTGAAATACCAAGGATTTTATTAAAAATGAAAAATGGTCACGTGGCTGGTTATATCATTCAAGTTTTTACATTGTGTGTAATTCCTTTAACACACTTTGGCGTGGGCCATGTGAGGGGTGTGCTTGGGGGAGTTACATACCGGTCTGCACCCACGGGGCAGCAAACACCCGGAGTTCCCTCGTCAACGGGGCCAGTGCGAGCCTGGCCTCTGCAGGATGGCGGCCGGGAGCCACCGTCCAGAATCATGTTGCTGCTCTGCACACCTCTAGGGGGCGCCACTCGCTTAAAGACAACATGAGCAGTGCTCCTGAGGTCATGCAGTGCATCTGCCTGGATCCAGCGGTGACCGAGGTGAAGGGTTTCAGATATGTGGAGGCTCCTCGCTCAGCATAAGGGACATTGGAAATCATGAGAATGTTCGTGTGACTGCATGTGTGACTGCTTGCTGGAAGTGTTCCCGTGGTGGCAGAATGCTTCTAAGACTTGCTTTCATTGAAAGAGTCACCTGGCAGTGAGGGTGTATTTTGTATTCTGGATATCACTCTTTCTCTGGATAAATAGAATTCCTTTTTTTTTTTTTTTTTGGCTGGGTACAGTATACTTTATTGATGGTACAGGACAAGGTAGGGCTCCTCTGGATAAATAGAATTCTAATAGAATATATTATGATATGGTATGACATGATCTAATATAATTCTCTTAATTAAAAATTCTCCTCATTAGGGTTGCCAGGTAAAATATTGCAGGACACAAAGTTATGTGGGAAAAATATTTGTTTATCTGAAATTTAATTTTTTACAGCTTTACTGATATATATTTACATATATATTTACTGTAATATATATATATATTTACATAAACTTCACCCTTTTAAAGTGCACCATTGAGGGTTGTTAGGATATTCAGAGTTGTGCAACCATCACCATAATCGAATTTTATTTTATTTTATTTTTTCAAATTTTTTTATTGTTATGTTAATCCCCATACATCACATCATTAGTTTTAGATGTAGTGTTCCATGATTCATTGTTTGTGCATAACACCCGGTGCTCCATGCAGAACGTGCCCTCTTTAATACCCATCACCAGGCTAACCCATCCTCCTACCCCCCTCCCCTCTAGAACCCTCAGTTTGTTTTTCGGGGTCCATAGTCTCTCGTGGTTCCTCTCCCCCTATGATTTTCCCCCCTTCATTCTTCCCCTCCTGCTATCTTCTTCTTTTTTTTTTTTCTTAACATATATTGCATTATTTGTTTCATAGGTACAGATCTGAGATTCAACAGTCTTGCACAATTCACAGCGCTTACCAGAGCACATACCCTCCCCAGTGTCTATCATCCAGTCACCCCATCCCTCCCACCCCACCCCCCACTCCAGCAACCCTCAGTTTGTTTCCTGAGATTAAGAATTCCTCATATCAGTGAGGTCATATGATACATGTCTTTCTCTGTTTGACTTATTTCGCTCAGCATAATACCCTCCAGTTCCATCCACGTCATTGCAAATGGCAAGATCTCATTCCTTTTGATGGCTGCATAATATTCCATGTATATATATACCACTTCTTTATCCATTCATCTGTCGATGGACATCTTGGCTCTTTCCACAGTTTGGCTATTGTGGACATTGCTGCTATAAACATCGGGGTGCACGTACCCTTTCTGATCCCTACTTTTGTATCTTTGGGGTAAATACCCAGTAGTGCAATTGCTGGGTCGTGCAATAGCTCTATTTTCAACTTTTTGAGGAACCTCCATACTGTTTTCCAGAGTGGCTGCACCAGCTTGCATTCCCACCAACAGCGTAGGAGGGTTCCCCTTTCTCCGCATCCCCGCCAACATCTGTCATTTCCTGACTTGTTAATTTTAGCCATTCTGACTGGTGTGAGGTGGTATCTCATTGAGGTTTTGATTTGGATTTCCCTGATGCCAAGAGATGTTGAGAATTTTTTCATGTGTCTGTTGGCCATTTGGATGTCTTCTTTGGAAAAATGTCTGTTCATGTCTTCTGTCCATTTCTTGATTTGATTCTTTGTTCTTTGGGTGTTGAGTTTGATAAGTTCTTTATAGATTTTGGATACTAGCCCTTTATTTGATATGTCATTTGCAAATATCTTCTCCCATTCTGTCAGTTGTCTTTTGGTTTTGTTGACTGTTTCTTTTGCTGTGCAAAAGCTTTTTATCTTGATGAAGTCCCAATAGTTCATTTTTGCCCTTGTTTCCCTTGCCTTTGGCGATGTTTCTAGGAAGAAGTTGCTGCGCCTGACGTCGAAGAGGTTACTGTCTGTGTTCTCCTTTAGGATTTTGATGGACTCCTGTCTCACATTGAGGTCTTTCAACCATTTGGAGTCTATTTTTGTGTGTGGTGTAAGGAAATGGTCCAGTTTCATTCTTCTGCATGTGGCTGTCCAGTTTTCCCAGCACCATTTGTTGAAGAGACTGTCTTTTTTCCATTGGACATTCTTTCCTGCTTTGTCAAAGATGAGTTGAGGGTCCATTCCTGGGCTCTCTATTCTGTTCCATTGATCTATGTGTCTGTTTTTGTGCCAGTACCATGCTGTCTTGAGGATGACAGCTTTGTAATAGAGCTGGAAGTCCGGAATTGTGATGCCGCCAGCTTTGCTTTTCTTTTTCAACATTCCTCTGGCTATGCGGGGTCTTTTCTGGTTCCATACAAATTTTAGGATTATTTGTTCCATTTCTTTGAAAAAAGTGGATGGTATTTTGATGGGGATTGCGTTGAATGTGTAGATTGCTCTTGGTAGCATTGACATCTTCACAATATTTGTTCTTCCAATCCATGAGCATGGAACGTTTTTCCATTTCTTTGTGTCTTCCTCCATTTCTTTCATGAGTATTTTATAGTTTTCTGAGTACAGATCCTTTGCCTCTTTGGTTAGATTTATTCCTAGGTATCTTATTGTTTTGGGTGTAATTGTAAATGGGATCGACTCCTTAATTTCTCTTTCTTCTGTCTTGTTGTTGGTGTAAAGGAATGCCACTGACTTCTGTGCATTGATTTTATATCCTGCCACTTTACTGAATTCCTGTATGAGTTCTAGCAGTTTTGGGGTGGAGTCTTTGGGGTTTTCCACATAAAGTATCATATCATCTGCAAAGACTGAGAGTTTGACTTCTTCTTTGCTTATTTGGATGCCTTTGATTTCTTTTTGATGTCTGACTGCTGTGGCTAAGACTTCTAATACTATGATGAATAGCAATGGTGATAGTGGACATCCCTGCCATGTTCCTGACCTTAGGAGGAAAGCTCTCAGTTTTTCCCCATTGAGAATGATATTCGCTGTAGGTTTTTCATAGATGGCTTTTATGATATTGAGGTATGTACCCTCTATCCCTATACTCTGAAGAGTTTTGATCAAGAAAGGATGCTGTACTTTGTCAAATGCTTTTTCCGCATCTATTGAGAGGATCATATGGTTCTTGTTCTTTCTTTTGTTAATGTATTGTATCACGTTGATTGATTTGTGGATGTTGAACCAACCTTGCAGCCCAGGGATATATCCCACTTGGTCATGGTGAATAATCCTTTTAATGTACTGTTGGATCCTATTGGCTAGTATTTTGGTGAGAATTTTTGTATCCATGCTCATCAGGGATATTGGTCTGTAATTCTCCTTTTTGATGGGGTCTTTGTCTGGTTTTGGGATCAAGGTAATGGTGGCCTCATAAAATGAGTTTGGAAGTTTTCCTTCCATTTCTATTTTTTTGGAACAGTTTCCGAAGAATAGGTATTAATTCTTCTTGAAATGTTTGGTAGGATTCCCCTGGGAAGCCATCTGGCCCTGGGCTCTTGTTTGTTTGGAGATTTTTGATGACTGCTTCAATTTTCTTAGTGGTTATAGGTCTGTTCAGGTTTTCTGTTTCTTCCTGGTTCAGTTCTGGTAGTTGATACATCTCTAGGAATGCATCCATTTCTTCCAGGTTATCTAATTTGCTGGCATAGAGTTGCTCATAATATATTCTTATAATTGTTTGTATTTCTTTGGTGTTGGTTGTGATCTCTCCTCTTGCATTCATGATTTTGTTGATTTGGGTCATTTCTCTCTCTTTTTTTTTTTTTTTTTTTAAGATTTTATTTATTTATTTGACAGAGAGAGAGATAGCGAGAGCAGGAACACAAGCAGGGCGAGTGGGAGAGGGAGAAGCAGGCTTCCCACGGAGCAGGGAGCCCGATGCGGGGCTCGATCCCAGGACCCTGGGATCATGACCTGAGCCGAAGGCAGATGCTTAACGACTGAGCCACCCAGGTGCCCCGGGTCATTTCTCTTTTCTTTTTGATAAGTCTAGCCAAGGGTTTATCAATCTTGTTAATTCTTTCAAAGAACCAGCTCCTAGTTTCGTTGATCTGTTCTACTGTTCTTTTGGTTTCTATTTCATTGATTTCTGCTCTGATCTTTATTATTTCTCTTCTCCTGCTGGGTTTAGGCTTTATTTGCTGTTCTTTCTCCAGCTCCTTTAGGTGTAGGGTTAGGTTGTGTACTTGAGACCTTTCTTGTTTCTTGAGAAAGGCTTGTATTGCTATATACTTTCCTTCTAGGACTGCCTTTGCTGCATCCCAAAGATTTTGAATAGTTGTGTTTTCATTTTCATTGGTTTCCATGAATTTTTTAAATTCTTCTTTAATTTCCTGGTTGACCCATTCATTCTTTAGTAGGATGCTCTTTAGCCTCCATGTATTTGAATTCTTTCCGACTTTCCTCTTGTGATTGAGTTCTAGTTTCAAAGCATTGTGGTCTGAAAATAGGCAGGGAATGATCCCAATCTTTTGGTACTGGTTGAGACCTGATTTATGACCTAGGATGTGATCGATTCTGGAGAATGTTCCATGGGCACTAGAGAAGAATGTGTATTCCATTGCTTTGGGATGGAATGTTCTGAATATGTCTGAGAAGTCCATTTGGTCCAGTGTGTCATTTAAAGCCTTTATTT